AAAATGTTGTATCCTATGTTATAGGGCTTGTTTCTCGCTACAATTTCCTGTCTGACAATGTACCATTTGTGTCGGGGAAGGTATCATAGTTTCATAGTTGTCGATTTTCGAAAGAAATCAGTACTTGTATATTATTTCGTATATTTTTCATTTTATTGATTTTATGGAAAGCGCTGTTCATTAAAATGTTGTATCCTATGTTATAGGGCTTGTTTCTCGCTACAATTTCCTGTCTGACAATGTACCGTTTGTGTCCGGGAAGGGTTCATAGTTTCATAGTTGTCGATTTTCGAAAGAAATCAGTTCATGTATATTATTTCGCATATTTTTCATTTTATTGATTTTATGGAAAGCACTGTTCATTAAAATGTTGTATCCTATGTTATACGGCTTGTTTCTCTCTATAATTTCCTGTCTCACAATGTACCGTTTGTGTCGGGGAAGGTATCATAGTTTCATAGTTGTCGATTTTCGAAAGAAATCAGTACATGTATATTATTTCGTATATTTTTCATTTTATTGATTTTATGGAAAGCACTGTTCATTAAAATGTTGTATCCTATGTTATAGGGCTTGTTTCTCGCTACAATTTCCTGTCTAACAATGTACCGTTTGTGTCGGGGAAGGTATCATAGTTTCATAGTTGTCGATTTTCGAAAGAAATCAGTACATGTATATTATTTTGTATATTTTCCATTTTATTGATTTTATGGAAAGCACTGTTCATTAAAATGTTGTATCTTATGTTATATGACTTGTTTTTCTCTACAATTTCCTGTCTCACAATGTACCGTTTGTGTCGGGGAAGGGATCATAGTTTCATAGTTGTCGATTTTCGAAAGAAATCAGTACATGTATATTATTTCGTTTATTTTTCATTTTTTTGATTTTATGGACATTTTTAAAAGTCAGCTTCGAATTTTTTTTCTCAAAAAGTGTGCGCGGTGGTATTTTTTACAAAAACCAAAAAAATGTAGTAAATAATACAAAGACGTTTAGCAAAACATATACACCCAAAATCTCATTCAAATTAGGATAACGTTCTTAAAATGTCTGAAAAAATTGTGTTTATTTTTTAAAGTTTGATGCTCTCTAGCGGACAAACGAAGCATTAATATATAGAGATAAATTGTGTCCAATGAACTTATTATAATTCCAAAAATACGTAGTAGTTCTATGTCCCCGGAATATTGGAACACCCTGTAAAAACCATGTAATAGAAATGTACTCTTATATTTACTAGTATGCGATTGAATGTTATTGTATTTAAGAACCAGTTGTTACAATTATTGATATTTATTAATTTATTAATAATTATAATAGTGTAAAATTAACATTTCTAATATTATTTTGAGTGTTCTCTCATTTACTAAAACTCTTTGTCTTGCTAGGTTATTTTTAGCAGAGTATAACAAATAGCTCCCCCGATTTTTCTCTCAACCTATGCTTGAATTTTTTTGTGCATAATTTCTTCATGAAATTTAACTTTCCGACGAAAGTTCTTGACTTAATCGTTCGCAATAAAAACTCTTGACTTTTGATCTCGGCTTTTTCTCGTGGCATTATTAACTTTTAGACGTCTCAGAAGCCATATCTATCCAACCTACGCAAATTTAGCTTTAGAAAACTCATATCTGTCTTAATATATAAACTCTGCATTAAGTATTTTCTCTTATATTTTAGCTTTCAGTAAAAGCTCTAATATGTTTTCTATTTTTATGTGTTTTTTTACAAAAAAATAATGTAAAAGTAAACGTAAAGTATTTTAAGTTAACGTCTCGTTTTTGCTGCAAAAGTTAATCTGGACGGGGACTATTTTTTTCCTATCGGTGATATATTCCAAACGGTGTCATCAAAATGTGTTTCTATGGTAATATCATTTCAATTTCATTTTTTGGCGGATTATTATTAAAAGAATTTTAATTAATGCTGAGTTGTATCCATGGTACAAAGAAAACAAGGTATGATTGATAGCGGCTCCAATTTCCTTCAGTTCGCGCATACCAACTCTGACGTCACTAGGAAAATAAGGAATAAATCAAAAATAAAGAAAGTTGACAGGAGATCTGCATTTTTTATATTTTTTGGGGTTATGGTTAAGAATTGTTTATTTTTAAGACTTTTTAGTTCGTTTAATTTAATGATTACTAAAACCAGCAGTTCCAAAAATATATTTAAAAATAAAAGACAAAAATCCAAAATATTAATTATCTATTAACATGGATTTGGACGATAATAGGTAAGAATACTAAATTTATTTCTATATTCGGTATAAAATTGTTTATTAGGTTTTTAGTTTGCGATGTTTATGGTAAATAATTTTCATGTTCATTGTCTCTGAATTCACATGAGGACAGACATGAGGATATCTATGGAAAAGTAACCACAAGAGGAATTGTTACATTATTTAAAAAATGTTGGGAAGTTGATTATTTCCCATCGAAAAAGTAGAAAATGCCAATGCAGATGAATGTATTGTAATTGTGATAGAAGTAATTCCAAGGGTGAAGTTTATTATAATTAGTGACCTGTGCTTCTTTTTATATGTAGATGTTTCAGGTTTTGAGAATAAATCGGTTGAACGAAACCCAAAATGTAGATGAAGTATTTGCATACTCAGAATATGCCCATCAAGGATTATAGCTCAAATTTCCTTTAATGGTAGGCAATTATTCAATGCAAAATAACTTTTTAAGTGACTGAAATATTAAATAGTTTACAATATGGTATATCACTGTAAAAATATATTACTTTTAGGTACAATTAAGGCCCGATACATTTCAAAAAGTAGAATATTATTTTATATTAAATGAGGTATTGTACCAACAATCAATTTGTATTAATACCGGAGATTAAAAAATAACAGAATAAATAGTTCTTTTTTTATACTACAAAAATAAACTATAGAATACAACAGAATACAAAAAATTAAATAAAAAAAGTTATGTCCCCGCCGAGATTCGAACTCCGGTCTCTCGCTTCCTAGCCCGACTCCTTACGCACTGCTCCACAGTAACTTGCTTAGCGATAATTCAATGACGGTATATAAACAAAAAAACAGGTTTATTACAATATCTTGACGATTTGAACTGGCGCGCGGAGCGTGCTGACCAATAGCGCCTGTTATCACCTGTGACGTAGCGACCAACCTGCGCAATATCATACCTTGTATTCTTTGTACCATGAGTTGTATCCATAGAGAGAGCCTAATCTTTAGCTTATAAAACAATCAACTTTTGATTTCTAACCACAATTTATTTTGATGGATGATAATCAAAGGCCAAAATGACATTTCTCGCAAATTTTGAAATATAATTAGTGGAAAAGTTAAAGTTTGTTAACTTTTTCTAATAATTGAAAATGACTACCTCTAATTTTAACGTCTGAATGGTTACATTCAAATTAAAGGAGCAAACTTCTACGCTAATTGAAACCACTAATTTATTCCACTAATTGCGAAGTTCTGAATGAAGCTTAAGATCATATCTTTTGCTGTTTTAAAATGTTAAAAAAGTACAAAATTTATTTAGTTCATTTCTACGGAAAATGTGATACTTTAACAACTAACAGTCAAAAAATATTACGTTAATGAAAATTAATAATAACTATCTATCAGAGAATGAAATCTAAATGATATTACCATAGAAACGCCTTTTGATTTTCTGGACTTTTTAAAAAATTGAACTATATTGTCCTGTTTTTTTTTATTTTCTTTAAAACGGTATGATAATTTGGAAAAGTATTAACGAGATTAACCATTTTAGAACAAGCAAAATTTCAACAATAAAAAAGTTTCCTTTTGTAAAGGCAACCCGGGGACATACTGTATATTTTGTAAGAACGTTATTATTAGTTTATAAGAACTCTTACAAGAATGATCGACAAATTCTATAAAAAAATATAAACTTTAAACTATTGATATTATCACACATATTCTTGATAAAACAAATAAACAATTTAATTATCAATATGTTCAGCAGTAATCATACAACTCACAGACACGTTTTCAAATGGATAAAACAATATTAAAAATATCACATATCAAAAAAGCGACCTTGAATATAATCCACTCAAGTTATATTGTTAAGATAAATGTCTGTCACAGTTCGAAATATAACATTAAAGGAACAAAAAGTAATGCGCGGATAATATATCTTTGTGAAAATGGCGTTTATTTCTTTTGAAAAGAAACCAGATAATAGAAAGAAATAAATGACAGAAAAAGAATTCGTTATGTGGGATGAGCCTTTTAAGTAATAAGTGCTTACTATAAATTGTTATTTTTTTTTTTATTAATAAGTTTTTTGAAGAAAAAATCAGTTGGACGTCTGTGAGGACGTCAACCTATCTTGTTTTCTCTATATATTAAAAGTTCATCATCACTTTCAGCTTATTCAACCACTTCTAATTATGGTGTAGCCTCCCTCGCATATTTAGTTACTCTCTTTGTAGCTGAGTCCATTGTTGTCTATTGTTGGCTATGTGGGCCCAAGTTATCCCTGGTAATTTCCTAATATCATTCTAGGTCTTAGAGCATAATAAATTGTCTTAGGTCTTTTAAATAGGTCTTCTAGGTCTCTTAATTCTTCGTGGATACCATGCTGTAATTTTTATGGTCCATCTGTTGTCTATTCTTCTTACCAGGTGTCCTGCCCATTATCATTTGAGGAATTTGACTCACCTACTGTGCATGACACCTATTACCTGGGTCTTTTGGTGTATACACTCTATTCTTTTACGGTCTCTCTTAGTTATTCCCAGCATATTTCATTCCATTGAGCGTTGTACGACCTGCAGTTTCCCTATGATAAGTATCCAGGTCTCGCATACATAGGTCATGACTGGTAGTACACATTGGTCGAATGTTTGCTTCTTTAGATAGAGTGGCATTCTAGATTTAAATATGATTAAAATTTATATAAAGAAGTAAAGTTAGTTTTTAAAATGTGAAACATATATTTACAAAAACATAATGTAATATAAGTAATTTTTTATTTCAGGTTCAATAAGGACATTGTGCCACACGCAGCCTCAGCAGTGTCCATCTCAGCCTTGCTTAAACGGAGGAACCTGTTTGGAAGGATGGAACCGGTTTATTTGTGATTGTACCAGTACCATGTTTGCTGGTCCAACGTGTGGAAAGGAGGCCGCAACCCTCAAGTAATTTTTTATATCATTTTTTACTAATTAATATTTTTCTATAATTAAAAATATTCTCTACGATTAACTATTAATTTAAACATAATATAAATATAATATAACTATTAATTTATATTAAAAATTAATTTTTTTTAAATGTCATAATATGGCAACATAGGTAGTAGATTAAATTTACAAGAAAAAAACGAGAAAAAATCAAGTTTTTCTCAAAATGTAAGCAAAAATTAGATACAGGCAATTAGATACAAATGAAAGCATAAAAATACCATATATAATAATATTTCGTCCCATTGCTGCCAAAAGTCACTAACTTACTTTTTATTACCTCCGAGTCTAAAAATGAATTGCATTGCATAAAGATGTTATAGTTAGTAACTATTCGGTATTAAAATAAAACATAAATAACGAGAAATCGTAGTTAATGACTTTTGCAATCGATTCTCCGCTTCAAAACATAGTTAGTGATTGAATTTGGTTGTTCGGAAAAATGTTAGTTTTTTTTTATTTTTTACGATTTATAGTATAGAATTGTTTTACCGGAGAGTATATAAGTGTATTTTTATGATATTTTTTACCCGCAAATATAGAAATAACTCGACGTGTTTCATTTTAAATGCCTACCATTATGGACGTGTCAGATACCTGCACGTCAAAAAAGATTAAAGTTATATCCTGAGGACTCTTAAAACAAAACTCCACTATTCGCTGTCCAGTCTGTGTCTCTTGGGAAGTCTACTCTGTTGTCCCTTTGCAACCGAGGGATTTTCGGTTGCTTCTTATTCTTTAAAAAGTGCCATCAATAAGTTAAGACTCACCGTCGTTTAGATATAAAAGTTTAACATGTATTCAGTAAATGGGTTTCCTATGTTAAATTTAGATTTATATATTTGATGCTGGGATATTTTAAGCAAAAAACCATATAAAATAATTTGTAAAAAGCTAAGTACAAACTTAATTCATTTATATGATTTTATGTAACATGTTGAAAATTAAAATCATTATAATAAACTTGATGCTGTACCAGTGAAACAATATCCTCTGGTTGTCTGCTAGAAAGTAAATTTTCACGCACATTTTCATCGATAAATTTGTAGCTTCTGAATAACGGTCTAGGTAAGAGTATTCGTATAATTTAACAAAATTACTGTAAACCACTATAAATACGAATTGTTGGTTATGTTCAAATTTTTTTCTCTTCTTGCCTTATCTTTTTGCCTTATTGTACGTAAAAAAGGTATCTTGGTAAAGATCGTTACGACTAACCGTTCTTAAGATATTGTTGGAATGTAAGTTATCAATACATGTCATTTTTAAAAATTATACTTTCAAGAAAAATATGATGAAACAATTTCTGTTGAACTTTTGGAACAAAAACATTTCATATTTATAATTTCAGTCTAATAAATATCTGGTTAACATGTTCAATTTTTGGTAATGATGACATTTATTGATTATATTTAGATTCCAAATATATTGAGAAACATTAGTCGTAGTAATTTTTACCTTGAGAAATGTGTATTTTTTCACTCAGTAGTTTTATACAGATAATAAATAAATGCCTTTATTGTCAAAAAATTTTTCAATTTGTAGACAAAGGTAAACTAACAAACATAGTAGAAAAAAAAACAAGGTACACAAACAAACAAACAAAAGATAATACAAAACATTACATAAATAATATTGTCAGTCTTATTGTTAAAATAAACATTTATAAATGTTTACAATGTCAAAGAACAAAAAATTTAAAATAATATTCAAAAATATTTAGCCAGTTTATAGCAAAATATCAATGACCTCTAAATAAATTAATTTCGATGTCATTAGTAAATATAGCAATAGCAAACATTAGACCAGTGTTTTCAAGATCAAATTCGATTTTCAATTCAAATATAATTCATTACGGCGTAGAAAGCCTTGTCTAGTAAATAAGAGTTCAATGCTTTGCGAAATGAAAAAAATGATGTTATGGATTTGATTTCAAATGGCAGGTGATTGTGCATTTTTTTCGAGTTGTATAATATTGAACTTTTAACTAACTCTGAGCGTGGGGTAGGTAGATAAAGATCTTGCTCCGCGTTCCTGAGTGGATAAGTGTGAGATGGCCTTTCTTGAGAAGCTGATACATGTTTACGTATTAGGCAAACGGATTCAAATATAAATAAGGAAGGAAGAGTCAATATTTTTAATTCTCTAAAAAAGCCCCGGCAATGAGTTCTGCTGTTTAGTCCCAGTGAATATCGAACAGCTCTCTTCTGGAGCTTGAAAATGCGGTCAAATTGAGCCGCACAACACGTACCCCAGAATGGAAGGGCATACCTGAGGTGCGACTCAAAAAGTGCATAATAAACAGTTCTAGCCACTGACAAGTTAAGCTCCTTAGAAACAGACCTTAATGCAAAACAGGCAGAGCTCAATTTTTTCGACAAAGCTTCGATATGTATGTCCCATTTCAGAGAATTGTCCACAACAAGCCCTAAGAATTTTACGGATTTTACGACGTCAATGGTGGTGTTGTCAAGTACAAAAGGCTGCAACGAGTTTTTATACGACAAAGCCTTAGTTTTAGAAATGTTGAGACTCAGGAGGTTCGAATCGCACCAAGATTTAATGGTGATTAAGTCATTTGATATAATCCTATGAAGTGCCGCGATGTCCTTGTTGCTCCAAGTGAAGCTAGTGTCGTCCGCAAAAAGACATATTTTGCCACTGATGTTTATGTTAGCAATGTCGTTAATAAAAAGAAGAAACAAAATAGGGCCTAGTACTGAGCCTTGTGGTACTCCACATTCTATTGGCTTGCTAGAAGACAACGTGGTATCCACCCTCACAAGTTGACTTCTGTTGCTCAGATACGACTTAAACCATTCGAGAGATGATCCCCTGAACCCATAGTGCTGCAGTTTATTAATTAGGATCTTATGACTTACACAATCGAACGCCTTAGAAAAATCACAGAAAATTGTTGCTGTAGAATGATGGTTGTTTAGGCTGGAGTAAACTTTATTAAGGAGGGAAAACATTTGTCGCGTCATTTGTGGACTTGAACTTGATTAGATCATGATGACTAGATATTCATCTAGGGACTTTAATTTCATCATGATCTAATCAAGTTATCCCCAGAGTATAGTTTAATTAACGAATTCGTTTGATTCTCTGTGGAGTAATTGGAGTAGTTGGAGTAGTTGAAAAATAGAAATATTTATATAAAATGTTGATAATTTAACAGTGATGTGCTTTGTTACCTTATCAACAAATATTGGTATGAAGTTGCTTTCGCCAGAAACAATTATAATTAAATAATTTAATAAAAATTTAATTTCTAAGTGACCCTGATCAGTTAGATTAATAAAATAAATTGAAAAGTAAACGTCATTCCATTTTTGGTATTTGGCCAGTCTGGCAGTTTCTAAAGTGAAAGTGAATTGTGATTTGTTTTTATGGGAATATTTTACGGATTTTCGCGAATTTAGAGTATTTTGGACGATAGGATTGTGAAATTTAAAAGCCAAACAGTTCAATATATAAGATTAATTAATCCCTGTGATAATTTTTATGAAATTTCTCATAATCAAAACAAATTCTTTCAACAAAATGTCTCTCAGAAATTTAGAATATCAATTTAAAGTTTTATTTAAATGAGGATCGAATCAAGAACTTGTATAACATTTCATATTAAAGGCTTAATTTTTAAGGTTGCGCAGTAATTTTAAGGGAAGGGTACGGTTTTAGATAAATATGAAATATACAAATTTGCAAAGACAAACAAGTAATTTTAAAAAGATCATTTATTTATTTAAACGAGTATAATCATTAATCATTTAGTTTGAAAATATATTTTTATTTACTTATTTATACATTTTCTATACACTTGTATTATTGATAAGCTTTATATGTCCTGTTTTGTTTGTAAAAAAAATGTTTTGGGTCATCGAGAATAGATTTGCTAACAAATTTGTCCCTTTACTTTCTGTATTATACAACGCGAATTGTAAGATGTTTCTATTTGAATAGGTTATTAAAGTTTAGATTAAAGTTATACCAAATTAGATATACGTTAACTAATATGCCTTTTATATAATGATTTATTTATTTATAATTTATAACCTTTTTTTATAATTATTTATAACTGATCGTATAAATTCTGATAACTTTTATATATACTTGTATAGTATTGAATATGTTATATGTATTTTTATTAACAAATGTTATAATAAAATAATCAAGTTACAAATTTTTCGTATTATATTCTAATTTCAGGGATAATTTCAATCTAGATTATTAATTTATTTGTATCAAAATACATTATTTTTATTTTGTAAATGTTTTGTTACAAATAAATTAATAATCAAGATTGAAATTACCAAATATAAGTAAAAAACTTATGAACTGCAGTAAAGGTCCATTTAAAAATATGGCGCGAACCTTTAGTTCTGCCAGTAGCCCGCTTGGATCGCGGCGAGCGCGTGTTTCCAAGCTTTAACATAGGAGTTTTCATTTCTTTCAGTTAGTTATTCTATGAAGAAGACTAAGGAAGGAGCATAATGCTATCCATGTATTCATGCATGGTGGGCGGAAAAAGCACTCTAGGGTGGGGATCCTTGACAGTTCTGTTTGACGATTCATTTGACACATTTGAATTTGATTTGAAATTTTGTGGATTTTTCAGTCTTTACGGAGCTCATTTTATGTTACTTATTATTTATTCTACTACTGATAGTTGTATAAAGGTAGTAAATGTAGATGGAAATTGTGGCAGAACTTAAATTAACAGTGACATTATCGCGATTTATCGAAAAAAACTCTAAAATAGTTGGTTGTGTAGCGTGCGGTAGATCTCGGAAAAAATTGAGTGAAATAATGGAACAACTTTTCGCTAGTAAGTGACTATATAATATACATACATGTAGTAAACCGATCATTTATGAAATTCACTTAAATTAACTAAATTATATATTTTCTTGCATTTTAGCTTTTATTCACTACTTGTCAAAGATCAGATGTCAAAGAATTTTGATACGTTAATTTGACTTACCTGCTTCAGTAGCGTATCGGATGTTTGTGGTAATAAATACTTATTATAACTTATCTATTTTTATTAGAATTATATATTTTTATAACAATTTTAATAACTACCAACATTTATTCACAATGTAAAATAAAATAACAAATTATTGAGTCTACCCCACGTCTACCCTATATCATAGTTTTACATTTTTTAAATAAAATTAGAACGGCACTGATAAACCGGAATTTAAGTCGGCCATATTTGAGGCCCATCGCGGTGTACCTAAGATTTTTGATATGCTCCTTCCTTAGTCTTCTTATTCAAAGGAGGGGACAGGTAACACGGCAGCTGAAAGTGAGGCCACTTGTCACCACTCGAAATTCTCCAATGGCGTAGCATCAGAAATTAGCTTGTACCTAGACGATAAAAATCGTTTATTAAAACGTTAACTAATATATCGTTTATTTTTGAGTAATGCATATACAATTTTGTATTTTATAGTCTCACCTTTATAATATTAGAATATCTAAGTCGATAATGCAAAATTTATTTAACAGTCATAGTGAACTGATCATCAAAACAATTATTTATTTATTAACGTGTGTATAATGTATAATTAAATAAAAAATAATGTAAATATATATGTTTTAAACGTGTATATACATATATACCGTATGATCGAAAAACAACGGTATCCTGTTTGTTTGGAAATGACGATCGATGACATTCCCCGTATAGTTCTACATATAAAATAACATAAAAACTATATAAAATGACATCGAAAAAAAGACTGAGAGGAATGTCATCGACAGTCATTTACAAGCCAACTGGACGCCGTTTTTTTTCGATCATACGGTATAATAATGAATCTAGCCAATCTCCTTCACACTTGCCCACGGATTCAATGAATAATGAAATTTTTAATATTTGTTACCTTCAATCATAAGAATATCCTAATTTTCCGCAAAAAAATAAACAATTATTCTAGTAGCTTTGTGTTATTTTATTTATTTATTTTTAAATTTTTATTAATTACTCATTGAAACTATTACTATACACCTAAACTAGCAAATTTTTTGAAAGGATATTTAAAAAAATATTGTAACAAGTAGCCCATCACAAGTTTGTCCACCCCCAGCAAATCTTGGCAGGTAAATTTAAGTTTTATGTAACAACTATACATATAGATTTTTTATAACCAAAATTTTTCATGTTTTTTTTATAGTTTACAATTATTATTTTACATATTTGATAACAATACTTTATACATTTTTTTACCTGTAAAATATATAAAAAAATGTTTATTGCAGAAATTGTATTTCTCTGATTATAATACCCTACACCACTGGAGAAATCCTGTCTGAGTAGCATTATTTATAGTTTCAAACATTAATTATAATATAGGATATTAAAAATACTACTTGGAATTAATAATAATAGTTTGCTTTGGATGTGTTACAAGACATATTAAAAGCATTTTACATATTTTTACTGCTATAATGAAAAAATGTACATTTTATGATTACATAGCACAAGTTGCGTATCAACTTTTACCTGTAAAATGTAATTCCAGTCATTTTTTTCTCGCTTCAGCCTTTGCAGCCATACGCCGAACATCTCACCATACTAAACAACACAGTTTATAAATTTAAAACAAAACAGTATTCATAAAAAACTTAAAAATTCGCTTGGTGTCACCACGAAATCTTGTCACCAAAGTATGGCCGCCGATCAAATTTTGGCCTCAAAAATTTTTCACTGGAGAATATGCGTGTTAGCTGTTCCCTCTCTTTCCTTGTCTAAGATTAAATACTAGACCTTTAATCAGTGTGTGAAATGATCAAAATTTTAAAATTCAAAATTGTTCATGATTAAACATCAACAAAAAAGTCGTTTACCGCATATTGGGCTCTCTCTAGTAAGTATAATTTTAGAGCTTTGCGAAATGCGAGGTTCTGAATGAAGCTCTAGAATGTAGGAGACGAAGAATGACAAAAATTTAAACTGTTTTCTCCTCAAGCAGAGGCATTTAATTTAGAGCTTCACTTGCACATATACACTTTAAAACTAACCTCCACTAAGCCTACTGATTTTTTTATTATCTCTTCCAGCTTTAACGGATCCTCGCACATGGCAGTGACGATGGACGGCGAGATGGTCACCCAAACGGAAGACATCGTTCTGCGATTCAGGACGAGTAAGCCGCTGGGATTGCTGCTGATCTCCAGCACGCTGGAAACGGGGGACAGGATCGAGTTGGCGGTGGCCGCGGGCAGGATCCGTCTCGCCCTTAGGCTGGACGTCAAGGAGAAGAGGAAGGAGGACCGGGAAAAGGATAAGGTCGGTATTAAATATAGATATCGGTTATATGGTCTGGAAGGGAATTTTTTGGGGGATTTTGACCTTTTGCAGGTTGTTTTCGTTTCAAGAACACCTTCTTTGAAATAATTTTTAGATTACTCGACTCATGTTTTATTTCGGGTCGACAAGAATCTTTCTCATGAATTTTAATAAATTCCTGTTCCTTTTAGAGAAGAATCTAAAACATGGAAGGATTATTATCGTTGAGCAATAATAAAAACCATGTTGTTTTGATAAAACTTACAAATAAAGAATCTTTGATTACTCCAGGAGGCAGTGATTTTTTTGTGTTTATTTTTTCCCAGTGGGTGAATTTGAAATAGTTTGTTCGGATGGTGATATAAAACGACAATTTTGAATTTGGCTAAAATTCTCTGACTGGTTTGCTAGATAAAAAAGACAACTCCATTTATTTTCTCAGTCATAAACATTTGACATTTATTAAAGTCAATCATTTTATTAATGGAAATAATAGTCTGCTACATCCCAAAGAAGTCAAGGAAGCCAAAGCAAGAGTAATGATATATAAAACAACCCCAGAGATCCCAACTGGCAGATGAGTATGACAGGAAAACGCAATATCTCCAAAGATGTTTACAACAACACTAGAAGAAATCTTCCATCAACTCGACTGGGTCAACAAAAGATTAAGTATAGATGGAGAATATATACTAAGTGACATTGAAAATAGAACACCCTCTAAAAATTGTTTAATTTTAACAATCTTTTGTACGTGAATATAGGTTGACAAAAGGCGTAAATGATCAAAATTTGGAGTGAAAATATTGGCTCGTTACCTTGTCCTTGTTAATAATGTGTTGGACCACCTTGATGTTCTATACATTCGTTGAGCCGTCTGGGCATGGAACTAATCAGATGATTTATGTCTTCTTGCGGTATTTCATCCCATGCTAACTGTATCTCATGCCGAAGAGCTTCTAGTGTCTGAGGAGGATGCGGTAAGTTTGTCAGTCTCCTACCCATGATATCCCATACATGTTCAATTGATGAGAGATCTGGAGATTTTGGTGGCCAGGGTAGGAGATTAACTTGGGCATTATGTAAGTGGTTCACAGTTAATCTAGTAACATGGAGACGGGCATGGGATTATCTTATTGAATTATAGGATCTTGGAGCGTTCGTAAATATGGTAAGAGATTAGCTTCCAGAATTTCCTCAATATAGCGTTCGGCTGTCATATTACCTCGAACAAATATTAGAGGTGACCTGCCACCATATGCGATTGCTCCCCAAACCATAACTACTACAACTTGGTGCCTCTCCATGAAAATCTGTGGATTCCGCCTTTCTCCACGGTATCTTCTCACTCGCACCCGACCGTCGTGCATTCCCAAACAGAATCGCGACTCATCACTAAAAACGATAGTAAAAAGCCAATGGTAAAACCCAATTAGGCCGAAAAGCCATTGGTTAGCAATTATTGCTCGAGAAGTGGCCAAAGTGACCGGGAAGTGGAATTGCCTTAAACGGCGATCTTGACCCTCAGTGGTTAATCTTAGATGCCCTGTACCTCTGTCACGATGTTCACGGTGTTGTTGAAAGTAAGCTCTACAACAATTGTCAACAGTGCAAACACTTCTATGGACCCTATCAGCAATCTCTCGAAATGATAATCCTGCCTCACGCAAACCTACAATCCGACCCCTATCAAAATCACTGAGTTGTCTAAAATTGGCAGAGAGAGAGAGAGAGATATGATATCAGGATGTCATAAAACTAAGGGCAATGGTTTCAATAATTGTTATGCAATTTTTTACCTGACAGACATATTACCCATTCTCACATATTAGCCAGACTATTTTCTTTTTCTTAACTGTACAATTAACTGAACTAAATTATGACAGTAGACTTAATTTTTCTATTTTAACAAGCAAACTATTTTTTACTGCGTAATCTGAATGCAAAAATTTCGAAGAATAAAAAATATATATTTCTTTGCGGATACTGTATATGCTCTGGCCAGATTTCCCAAAGCTAATAATAATATAGCTGGTTTATGTAAGCCATTGTTTGTAAAACGCACCGGCTTGTGATTGATTGATGTACCCTGAAGCATAAAAAATACGCTTTTTTACGCCAAATAAAATTCGAAAATTAAGCTCGGTCGGCTTTTATCTGACAGAACAATGAAACATGTTGATTCTGCCACCGATTTCGAACCCATTTTACCCAAGGCCTTTATTAACAAAAAATCAATTCAAGTGAAAAATTGTAGGAAAACGAAAAATTTACAGGGCGTTGAAAATAGTACTAGGCAGAATAGCTTTTAGGCATATTAGACTAAAATGTTTATACTAAGTGTGGATTGCATCGACTTACTATAATCGTAACTGGAGATTTTGACAATCAATAACCAGCCGTGGCGGCTTCACCAGCGAACGCCGAGCTCATGATCTACCAAAGTATAAAGATATGCTTTGCCATAGGTAGGATTTCAGAGGGGTCCCACGTTTTTATTTTAGTCTAATATGCCTAAAAGCTATTCTGCCTAGTACTAAAATATTTCTGAACTAGAAGTTCAAAATACCTAATTGTTATTATTATTTTCTAGTTTTCAGTGCACATAAGATAAAACCGTTTAACTTAAAAGTTTTTTTACCGATTTTTTATTTTCTAGTTTTTAGTATGTTTTTACATGATTTTCAGCTCTACGTTGCTGTGCACGCTCGCGTTGGTTATTTGACCTGTCTTGGCGTTGCTCAGGTGTTTCTGAGGCTTCTAACTCCTTTCGTCTCTCACGCCGTCCTGTTAATCTGGCCTCACATTGCTCAGGTGTTTCTGATGTTATTAGCTCTCTTTGTCTCTCTCGTTGTGATGCCAGCCTAGACTCATGACGCTCAGGTGTTTCTGATGCTAACAACTCTCTTTGTCTGTCACGTTGTGATGCTAGCCTGGACTCATGACGGTCAGGTGTTTCTGACGCTAACAACTCTCTCTGTCTGTCGCGTTCTGATGCTAGCCTAGACTCATGACGCTCAGGTGTTTCTGACGCTAACAACTCTCTTTGTCTCTCTCGTTGTGATGCCAGCCTAGACTCATGACGCCCAGGTGTTTCTGCCGCTAACAACTCTCTCTGTCTGTCACGTTGTGATGCTAGCCTGGACTCGTGACGCTCAGGTGTTTCTGACTCTACCAGCTGCCTTTGTCTCTCACGTTGTGCTATTAACCTGGCATCATGTTGCTCAGGTGTTTCTGTTGCTAACCGTTCTCTTCGTTTCTGTAGTCGACTATAGGTTTCATTTTCACTTTCTTTTGCACGTTTCGTTCTATACTTTTTTTTCGCCTTTTCGAGCCTTCGTTTTCGTTGTGTAGCAGTTTCGTTTTTCTTTTTGTTTGTTTTTTTATTTATTGTTTCCATGTTGTTCCCACGAGTAATGGACATTTTAAAGGTCGACCCCCCAGAGGTCCAGTAGAGGGGCAAGGCTATCATATACAACAAGAGGCGCCCAATCTTGAGGGGAAAACGCTTGCGACATTACATTTTTAGCCACCCTAATGCCATACAGTCCGCAGGACGTTTTAACCTATAACCTTAACTTGGGTGGTAAAGCTACCGCTAACTACGTAGGTACATCTAATCATCTATTTTTTTTTATCTGTCTTTCTAACGTCACACAATCTTGGACACAACTGTTCGGGACACGACTACTCATGCCCTCACCTAATACGCCATTTTGTAACGACGTCCATCTTGGATTTTAAATTTTGTCATAATCACAGTATTCTACTAGTGTAGCCCTTTCATTTGATACCCATATTGAGGGGTTGTGGAAAATATGAAATCCGCCATTTTGTACCGGCAGCCATCTTAGATTTACAATGTTATTGATATTACTATATTGTATTGTCATCGGAACTAAAGGTGTGTACCAAATTTCAGATCAATTTGACAACAGGAAGGTACTTAAATTTCAATTTCTAATTTTGACCCAAATAAACAAACAAATAAATAAATACCGTACGGGTCGAGCTAAATAAAACCGTTTAAAAAAAGAACAATGCCTTCGATACCACCTGCCCAAGGAGAGCCTTAAAAGTCTTCAAACTGTTTGCTGATGAAGAAGGACGCAACCAACAACTGCCACGAAGAAAAATCTTACTAAATAATATTGTTGAATTGTAATATATTTAAAAAGATGTATATATTTTTGTCAATAAATATTTATTACTAGCATGTACCCGCGACTTCGTTCGCGTCGAATTAATCATTTGTAATGGTAATGATAAAGCAAAGCAAGAATTTCCATTAACATACAAACTGGATAAAATTTTATCACATTTATGTCAGCATGAGAAAAAACAATATGGCGATATTATTATATAACTTCGTAATATTTGAGGGGTAATTTTATCTCGTTGGAATTTGATTTTCGAAGAATCCGTTTGCCAAAAATAAGCTTTTTACGTTCAGCAGTTTAAGCAGAATCGTGATTAATCAATTACCCAACTTTTTGGAACACCCTGTATGATTTCTTTAAAAAAATTCAAAATATGTAAAAAACAAAATAAATTATGCGTGTCCAAGCGTTTTCGCGAAAGACTAACCGTTTTTTAAATAACAAATACTGTAATATTTGAGGGTCGTTTTCACCCTCTTGGAATTTGAGATTCGAGAAGCCCCTCCTTATCGAACCTTTACACCCCACAGTCAATCCGTTTGCCAAAAATCAGCTTTAAACGTCAAGCAGTTTAAGCAGAATCGTGATTACTCAGTGGTCATATTTTATGAAACACCCTGTGTAAATTTTTAAAAAATCTTAAAATATGTAAAACAACAAAATAAAATATACGTGTTTAAGAGTTTTTCCGAAAAACTCACCGGTTTTTAAATAAAAATATTCTAATATTTGAGGGGTTGTTTCACCCCCTTAGAATTCGAGTTTCGAAAAATTCCTTCTTATCGAACTTCTACACCCTAAAGTCAATCCGTTTTCCAAAAATCAGCTTTTTACGTCAAG